GGGAGACCCGGGCTCCATGCCCCTGGTCCCCATGCTGCCGCCACTGCCTGCTCCTCCAGGTCGGGGACCTGGGGGAGGGAGGATCTCTGTCTTCTCTCTTCCCTCTGCTCCCCATACAAGAAGCTCCCCCACTTCACTGTTCCCTCCTACCTCTGGCTCCCTGTGCCTGGGTCTACAGGGGACAGGGGCTTCTCAGACCTACCACACTGCCCTGCCCATCCCAGCCACCCCCCCAAAACGGGCACAGTCTACATCAATGCCCAGCTGTGCTTCCCCCTCCTGGGGACCCCAGTCCATCCCCTCCCTGGCCTCGTCCACCCCCTCTCCCTCACACCGCTGCGCCCAGGACCCTGGTGGGCTTCGGATGGGCCGTCTGGTCTCAGAGCAGGATTACGAGAGGCTGGAAGACTGTGACCCCGAGGGGTCCCGAGACTCACCCCTCCATGGGGAGGAGCAGCAGCCCTTACTTCACGTGCCTGAAGGGCTTCGGGGTGAGGATGGGGAAGGGGCTGAGGGCTTGGGACTAGCTTGGCCTGGCTGGGACTTAGTGCTGGGGTCACAATGTCTTGACGTGGTCCTCTCTGTCCCCAGGCTCCTGGCATCACATCCAGAACCTGGACACATTCTTCACCAATATATCCTTTGTGCTTGGCCACTGGAGGTGGCATGGAGCTGGCACGTCCTTGGCAGGGGGACTCTGAGGGTGCAGTGGGCTTGTGGAGGAGTGAAAGGCAGTTTCCTCAGGACAGGCACAGTGCCTTGGGTTTCTTTCTTGACTCAGGCCACGTCTACAGCTACCACCAACGGAATGGCTTCACCTGTATCCTTCTGGAGGACGTCTTCCAGCTGGGGTGAGACGCTGTCCCAGTCCTGAGCTCAGACCTCTGGCCCAGCCCCTGACCCCCAGTGTCTTCCTTCCTTAACAGCAGCTACTGCTCCTAGTCTGTCTAACTTGTGCCAACCTGAGGCTCTGAAGGGCACAAGGGATGGGGGGACCCTCAGGCCTGATCACCGCCTGGTCCCCACACCCTCCTCCCATAGACAATTCCTTTTCATCGTCACCTTCACAACCTTCCTCCTTCGCTGCGTGGACTACGACATTCTCTTCGCCAATCAACCAAACAACCATACAAAACCCTGGCCGGTCCAACGCAAAGTGGCCTTGTCAGATGCCATCCTACCCTCTGCCCAGTGTGCAGAGAGGTGAGTGATAGCCAGGAGGAGTCCCCACCCTATGAAGCCCACCTTAGGGGTAGAAGAGCAGAGAGTAGCACTCTCCTTGCCCTTTAGTCTAGATCAGCAGTTCTCAAAGCCTTTGGCCTTAGGACTTAAAATGTGTTGTTGTTGCTTTTGTTTGTTTGAGACAATGTCTCATGGTTCAGACTGGCCTTAAACTCATGGTGATCCTCTTGCCTCAGCCTCCCAAGTGCAGGGATTATAGCTATGAGCCGTAACACCTGGCTTAAAGTATATTTAAAAAATTTTTGTGTGGGTGTATATGTGTGGTGCTGGCCATTAAACCCAGGACCTTCACACTGAGCTGCATCCCTAGACCTTTTAGTTTTTTTTGAGACAGGGTCTCCCTATGTAGTTGAGACTGACCTGGAACTCACTATGTAGCCCAGGCTGGTCTCAAACTCACAGCGATCCTCCTGCCTCAGCCTCCCGAATGCTGGGATTACAGGCATAAGCCACTACATCCAGCCTCCCCAGACCTTTTAAACATTTTTTTGGAGACAGGGTCTCAAGAAGTCACTAACAGCCAGGGATGTAGCTCAGTCTGCCTGGCAAGTGGGAGGCCCTGAGTTTGATTCCTGGTTAAAAAAAAAAATGTCCAGGTGAGGCTAGAACTGTCCGCCTTCTGCAGAACTGAGATTGGCTTTAAGTGTGTTTTTGTTTGTTTTTATGAAGGAAGATATTGCTATGTAGTCCATACTGGCCTTGAACTCCCTCCTGGGAGTGCTGGGCTTATAGGTATATACCACTATGCCTGGCCTAAATGTATTTTTTTCTTAAAACAGGGTCTAAACATGTGACATCTTAGCATATCCTATAGAGTCTGGAAAACACTGCATACTTGTGGGAGAATGATATTGCAAATAGCAGGAAGCACCAGTGTTGTTTGCAACAAGTGTTAGCTTTGTAGACACTTGTGAGTTCCTCTTTGGGGACTCCTCTCTGGACCCCACTCTGAGACCTGTCACCTGCTCCTGGTATTGGTCTCCTCTAAGTTTCTCACTGCCCACATACCTGTGACTCCACACAGGATCCATGCCAGCCCCCTGCTGGTCTTCCTCCTCATCCTGGCTGCCTGCTACTGGCTGTTCCAGCTGCTTCGCTCCCTCCGCAACCTCTTCAGCTACTGGGACATCCAGGTGTTTTACAGGGAGGCCCTGCACATCACTCCGGTGAGCTGCACAGGCACTGTCTGCTGTGAGAAGGTGGGGATTTAGCTCAGTGGCGCTGCACCTGCCTTGCAAGTGCAAGGTTCGAACCCCAGTACTGAGGTGGTGGCGGGAGAGCAGCCTCATCGTACTGGGCGCAGGAGGTAGGCACTGCCACTTGGGGAGTAGAGCCTTTGCCCTGTGCAACTTCCTTTATTTAAAAGGATCATGGAATATGACTTAGAGTCACATGTTTGTGGTGAAAACAATGAGTGTTGAGGGGAAGGGCTGCCTAGAGCAGTAGGAATATAGGCTGGGCTTGGAAGGTCAGGATGGGGCCAGGAAGGGCGTTCCAAACTCGAGTGTAAGACAGTGGGGAAAGCAACGGGCATGGGCAGGACTTTGCCACCCTGAAACTGATCCTGAAGGGGCCTTGTTGTCTTTGTCACTGTCCCCTAGTTGTGCTATCTGCCTGCTCTTCCTTTCTTCTCTTTCTTGCTGCTGCTGCTGCTTGTTCTAGACCTCAGTAGCACAAGTCTCTTGCTCATCCTAGGAAGTACAGGGCCTTTGGAACAGCCCTCCCCTGCCCTGAAGGGAGGGTTCTAGAAGGTGGTGGAATAGGGGGACACCAGGCACAGAGCGGAGAGGAGATAGGAGGCTGGCGGAGCAGATGGATAGTGGAACGATGACTATTGCTCCTCCAGGGGGCTGCTGACCCCTCTCTTCCTCTTTCCTTCTATTCTCTTTTGTTCCTTCAGAGGAAGTGGAGACACTGGCATGAGCTGGAGAGGCTGCCTGGGGCTAAGATGGGGTCTGCAGCTCTTTAGGGAGTTCTGACTGTGTCCTCACATGGACATAGCCAGGGTCCTGGGAAGGCTAATGTGATGACAGAGTGCAAGTGACCAGGAGAGGGGTGGCATGGGGATCTCAAAACTCACCAGCAGGTGGAGAGGACTGGGGTCCAGAGGAAGTGGAAAAGAGAGGTTCCCCCAGGAGCTGCCAACTCTTAAGGTGCTGAGCCAGGTCAGATACCCAAAGCCTGCTAAAGAGGTGTCACTAAGAAGCACATGACTAATGGCCATCTGAGTGGCAAGGATATCAGGTATGGAGCAATTCAGAAAAGAAGAGGAAGTCACAAGTGCTACAGTTAGTGGCAGTGTAGGGGCAGACAAAACGCCAAAAAGTGGCTGGCAGCAGTGGACCTAGCTTTGGTCTTGGTGAGTTGAGCAGGGTGTTGGGCCCCACTGGGCAGCATCACTGAGGGGAATCAGGGCCGCTGGTGCTCACCACTGCCCCTCTCCTCACGTAGGAGGAGCTCAGCTCCGTTCCCTGGGCAGAGGTCCAGTCGCGCCTCCTGGAGCTTCAGCGGAGTGGGGGTCTGTGTGTGCAGCCCCGGCCGCTGACCGAATTGGACGTACACCATCGCATCCTGCGCTACACCAACTACCAGGTGGCACTGGCCAACAAGGGCCTGCTGCCGGCCCACTGTCCGCTGCCATGGGGAGGCAGCGTCGCCTTCCTCAGCCGTGGCCTGGCACTCAATGTCGACCTGCTGCTCTTTCGTGGGCCCTTCTCACTCTTCCGCGGGGGCTGGGAGCTGCCTGAAGCCTATAAGCGCAGCGACCAACGAGGCGCCCTGGCGGCACGCTGGGGGCGCACGGTGCTGCTGCTAGCCGCCGTGAACATGGCCCTGAGCCCGGTGGTGCTGGCCTGGCAGGTGTTGCATGCCT